CAAAAGGTGGTGTGGAAACCAAGATTCCTGCGTTGGATTCCTACAGCCTACTTTTTGAGGTAGCAAACCCCGTACCTTGGGTATTTGTATTGTATTCACAAGCTGCTGCGTCTGAGCGCACCAACCACCAGCAACACACCACCTTTGGGCTTGATTCATGGCAAATGCAAAATATAATATAAATAAATATGATAAGTGCCATGCAAGCACACTGCCCACGCCTGCGTAAATAGGAGCGACTACGCTGTCTTCCTGTCAACTAAGCAGAGCTGGTCCTGGCAAAGGTTGAAAGATAACAAGCCTCCAAGCGTTCATTGGGAGCAGGTGTGTTCAATTGCAATCGCAATCTTTGACGTGCCCCAACGTTACTAAGAGGAGAAGACCCCATCTACCCAAGTCTCTTGACAAAAGGCTGCTGGCGAGCAACCCAGCAGAATCATGGAGATCAGGTAGAGCGAAGACGCAATCGAGATTGCTGAATCACATGTGTGATAGTAGGCCGGGTCCATGCCTGGTAACAAAAAGTTTGCCCGGCTGCGGCTCATTACACGTTTGTCAGTCTAGGGATGAGGGAAAAAAACATGTGAGAACGCTGCAGAGGAAATCCTGACACTATCTATCAGGATTTGGGTTTAAAAAATGGTCTGATCAAAAGCGAATGGATTGACTCTAGCACTGCTGTCATTCATTTGTCTCTCAAGTTATCGGGAGCAATATGGTGATGATATGTGATGATGGTGTGGTGATCGACTGAAGATGCCAAGATATGCCAAGTTGCCAGTGACAGCACAACCACCGGCATTGCATTCAATATCTGTCTGGCCCTCAGCATGCAAGCTGCTGCCAAGTGGTACCTTCATGCCTGATGAAGCCATCTGAATGAATACCCACACCCTCTCACCACTTCAGTTTTGCAGCTCGACCGAAACTGAAGACTACAGGCTTTCTCCAGTCTCATTGTTCTGGCTTGCACTTTTGAACAAGTCACAAAGGAGATATCGAGCGGCAGGGGATAGTTCTGTAGGCTGCTGCCACTGCTACCTCAGCCAAAATCGCTAAGCCTTCAGGCAATGCACATTGCAAACCCTGTTTGACCACACTCAGCCCGTCTCCTTTGCCATTTCATGTGGGTTCGCCCTTCACCCCGAACTGTTGAGGATACGAAGTCATGACTTTATTCAAGAGGAGTGTCTTCAAATAGTTCTTTTGGGTGGACGGCCAGGATAGGAACGGATATCGCTGATATCACTACGCATTACGCATCCAAAAGCTTGAGAAACATCAAAATGGTGTTGGAAGCCAATCTCCAGTCGCCAGTCTTCTATACTCAATACTCCGTTTGCGTTTGGACATGCCCACAGAAAATCGGCGTAGCGGCAGTGGATGCGGATCTTTGAAACGGCCCATTCGTTGCCAGCTCCACCCTGCAACAACCTGGGGCGCTCTACCGCATACCGCATGGGCCCAATGGGTTGGGAATTTAATTTGGCGCCTGGACAGCCACGCCTTGGGGTCTTTTAACATGGTGCGTTTTGTGTACTGTTTCTTTGCTGCATGTGGCATGTGAGGTGTGTGGCATGTCTGGCATCACAATGGAGATGCCAAAATATGGGCCTTCTGACCTGTGCTTCGACCAGAATCAATGACTTTGTTGCCGTCTCTGTCCCATCCTATTCAGGCAGAACCCTGCCATACATCAACCCCTGGTACAACCCCTGGGCTCAGGTTGGGATGCAGACGAAGAGCATGATTTTGGAGACTTTCTTCGTGGAACCCATATCTAACGTGATGGTCTGGGCGTCCTGTCGTCACATTGGCCCTAACTTTCTATGCCAGGCACCTGCGTCAGTGAAGAAAATGTGTTCAAAGCGTAGCTACTGCATAAGTTTTTTCTGCCAAAATTGGTGCCACAACCAAATGGGGATCTAAACTTCACAAATCCATACCACGCCATTCCGGCGAACCTGTCCTTTTTGCTAGATTCCCAGCAATGGCAGCTCATGCCTTGGAAGGCAAATCTTGCTGTTGTTCACGAAAAGCTCCCCATCATGACAGTTTGCGCTATCAACGTCATCCAAATCAATTTCATGCATATAGAAAAGCTTGATACCCAGCCAGAACTTCACTGTCAGGACACCAACGTCGTGGTCGCCTGCAAAGTATGAAGCGCTGTCGCCATCAATTGCTTTGTTCGGAGCGGCGTGACCTTTGAGGCAAATCATTTGGGGGTCAACATCCTGGACCATTTGCAATCTAGTCCGAGCTTGGTGAATGTTTGGATTCAATATTCCGCCTTATAGTCACTTGTCCATATATCAACTCCCTTGGTTCAGACATAATTGCAGCACCGGAGAATTGCACTGAGAGATGGCAACTGTTTCCCCTGCAACAAGAAATACGAAGCGCTGAAGCACATTTTTGCTATGGCAGCATGAACACCAAGTTGCTTCCACTGCTGCCAGTGGCTGTCGAAGCTAACAAAGAGGTGATCCTTGCTTCGTGCTGATCTTGCATATTTCAATGCGCAATGTCCGTCAACTTTCCTGATGATGTCTATTTTTCAGGCTGCGTAGTCTGGAAACCACATTCGTACGCACATCAATTAAAAAATGCTATGTCAGGTGTATTTGGCTGTGTGTGAGTGTGAACAAATCACCCTGCACCAGCCAGTGCGCATTGAGAATGGTCGCTGTTTCAAACCTGTACCTCTACACACATCTGGTTCCAGGGTGCCACAGTGGATTTGCAAGTCACGGTCAAACAAGCCAATTCTTTGACAAGCACACTCGAAGATCGTGGCCAATGTTTTTCCCTTCCGACTCCAAACCAGCGTGGACATTCCAAGTCTCCGTTCACCCCTCTCATCCCAAAGCTGAATCTCATGAAGATCCTCAGTTGCGGAATTTCGCCGAACACATCCGAACTCTTGGCGCCGGGAAGTTTGAAAGAATTTGCTAGGCACCTGATTCCGGCCAAACCTGCTTTCCGAGGAACAGGAAACCGTAGCATCGTGGCAATTCAATCTACGGTAACTCCTAGGTGGTAATAGATTTGATATGATTTGATTAGATAGTCATAGACTCGTAATATCTCAGACAACTCATAATACACATCCATCCTCGCAACTCTGAGATCTTTGATGAAAGTGGAAAGAAGATGAAAGAAGCCTAAAGTGCTTGTCGCTTTATCTACAAGTCTACCAACTTGCTGCACACGCCCAAGCTTCCCAGCTAGCAGTGCACTGGTCACGGGTGATGCCATTGCCGTTTCCGAAGGTCAAATAGCGCGTGCCATCATAGGGGTTGCAATCCTTGGTTCACCACGGGCTCACCACGTTCCCAAGTTGTCTTTGGGAAAAAAAACGAACTTCCAAGGGTCAGCAGTCAGCACCATCACTTGACGGCTCTGTTCTGCTGGTATCTGCTCATGTTATTCTCCTTGAATCCTTCCCATCACTGCCGAGCATCCACTGTAACGTTACCAGGCCCAATGCCCGCAGGCGCCAACACTGGTTCCGGCGAGGTTGAACCTGAAGCTTTAGCTTCAGTTCCACTGCTGCGAGACAGTTTCAATTTGTTGCACCATTTGCCGCAAAAGGGTTGACAAAGAGTGTTACTGCTTTTGGGTGCATTGGGTTCCAACATGTCTGCGCTGCATTCACTGGATTCACTGCAGGAATTTATCATGGCTCAACGTCAACAAATATGATGCAAAAGCACTTAGATTTTTCAGACTTGGCAATCCCGCGCCAAAATTAAAGCCATTTCCCACTGGTCTGCCAACTTTGTGCCAGGAGGCTAAGGAAAAGTTCTCCATCACCTCTGACGAATGGAAGTCCCAAAGCTGCCAAGAACCATGGGCGTCGCAGAATGAGCTGAGCCATGCTGAGCCATCAGCCTGCAAGAAAAAGCTGCGGACATTCTCGTTGATGTTGGACTGGAAAATCCAGCAATCCGGCTTTCCAATGCACTGGGCTGTGAGAAATCGAGAACGAAAAGTATGTTTTCCGGGGGCCTCCTGGATCCACAAATGCGATCCGATCGCACAATCCCCACCAATCCCTGTCAGTCGCCTGGCATTTCAGGTGCATTTCTGATTGGAAAAATGGACATCAACTGCTGTTCCACAGCATTCTGCATCTTTCTCACCGCAGCCGAGGTCAGCTACCTTTGGCAAGCCATGCGTGCGCTGCACCCTGGTTCCGTCGCTTTGCGACTCGCACAGAGTGCTGGAACATGACGGGTGAAGACATCACTCCCACTGGAAACTGCTGTTTCCGCGAAATCCAACTTTCAAACTTCAAGAGGAACAGTTGATGTCTTCACTAAGGGGCACTTTTTACATAGCTCTTGGCCCTCTGCTGAAGACCAGCTTTCAAAGAGTTTGTTTTAAAGTTAAAGCCATGAGAACTCTCCAGCACCTTCGACTATGGCCTTCTCAAACCAACCACCCAATATGGCAAGAAGCAGGAGTACGGATCACCTGAAAACCACTCGAATACGTTTCACTTGTACAGACTCTGAGAAGGTGCCGGAAAGTTTCGGACGGTTCCTTTTGGAAAAACGCCCGGGGCAAAGCACCTACTGCCGTCCCAGATCTGAGAGAAGCGCCTCTCAGGTGTTGCTGCAACGGCATGGAAAATGAACCCGCAACCTGGCGCAGCGGGTGCAAAAGATGGTGTGGAAACCAAGATTCCTGCGTTGGATTTCCTACAGCCTACTTTTTGAGGTAGCAAACCCCGTACATTGGGTATTTGTATGTATTGGTATTGTATTTGCACAAGCTGCTGCGTCTGAGCGCACCAACCACCAGCAACACACCACCTTTGGGCTTGATTCATGGCAAATGCAAAATATAAATAAATATGATAAGTGCCATGCAAGCACACTGCCCACGCCTGCGTAAATAGAAGCGACTACGCTGTCTTCCTGTCAACTAAGCAGAGCTGGTCCTGGCAAAGGTTGAAAGATAACAAGCCTCCAGGCGTTCATTGGGAGCAGGTGTGTTCAATTGCAATCGCAATCTTTGACGTGCCCCAACGTTACTGAGCTGAGAAGACCCCATCTACTGAAGTCTCTTGACAAAAGGCTGCTGCCGAGCAACCCAGCAGAATCATGGAGATCAGGTAGAGCGAAGACGCAATCGAGATTGCTGAATCACATGTGTGATAGTAGGCCGGGCCCATGCCTTTGAACAAAAAGTTTGCGCGGCTGCGGCACATTACATGTTTGTCAGTCTAGGGGGGAACCTGACACATCCTGAAACTACGTGACACGATTTGATAATAATAGGGTCTGATTTGATCAAAAGCGGACGGATTGACTCTAGCACTGCTGTTATTCATTTGTCTTCCTATTGGGCAGGGCCCCACGAGGTCGCTCAGGTTATCAGGGCCAATATGGACATGGTGTCGTGATCAGCTGAAGATGCCAGGATGTGCCAAGTTGCCAGCGACAACACAGCCACCGGCATTGCATTCAATATCTGTCTGGCCCTCAGCATGCACGCTACTGCCATCCGTGAACCCAATCTGGAGATATCTGGGGAGGGAAAAGTGAAGCTCTGTGCTAAACGCCCACACGCCAGAGTGACGCAGTGGTATCTTCATGCCTGATGAAGCCATCATGAATGCCCACACCCTCTCACCCTTCAGTCTTGCAGCTCGATCGAAATTGAAGACTACAGTACCTGTTTTCTCCACTCTCATTGTTCTGGCTTGCACTCTTGAACAAGTCACAAAGGAGATATCGAGCGGCAGGGGATAGTTCTGTAGGCTGCTGCCACTGCTACCTCAGCCATTTCATTCATTCATTCATTCATTTCATTTCATGTCATTTCATTCAATTCAATTCATTCATTCAATTCATTCAATTCATTCAATTCATTTAATTCATTCAATTCATTCAATTCATTCAATTCATTCAATTCATTCAATTCATTTAATTCATTCAATTCATACAATTCATTCAATTCATTCAATTCATTCAATTCATTCAATTCATTCAATTCATTTAATTCATTCAATTCTTTCAATTCATTCAATTCATTCAATTCATTCAATTCATTCAATTCATTCAATTCATTCAATTCATTCAATTTATTCAATTCATTCCATTCATTCCATTCATTCCATTCATTCAATTCCATTCATTCCATTCATTCATTTCATTTCATTTCATTTCATTTCATTTCATTTCATTCATTCATTCATTCATTCATTGATTCATTGATTCATTGTCAACTGAATCTGTCAAGGTGGCTCCAAGATAACTTGCGTGGGATTTCCAGTGACCGGTAAAATCACCAAACCTTGAGGCAATGCACATTGCAAACCCTGTTTGACCACACTCTGCCGGGTCTCCGCGTCTCCTCTCTCTCATTTCATGTGGGTTCGCCCTTCACCCCGAACTGTTGAGGATACGAAGTCATGACTTTATTCAAGAGGATTGTCTTCAAATAGTGCTTTGGGGTGAACGGGCAGGATAGGAATGGATATCGCTACGCCAATACGCATTCCGCATCCAAAAGCTCGGGGAACATCGAAATGGTGTTGGAAACCAATCTCCAGTCGCCAGTCTTTTATGCTCCGTTCTTTGCATTTGGACATGCCCACAGAAAATCGGCGTAGCGGCAGTGGATGCGGATCTTTGAAACGGCCCATTCGTTGCCAGCTCCACCCTGCAACAACCTGGGGCGCTCTACCGCATACCGCATGGGCCCAATGGGTTGGGAATTTAATTTGGCGCCTGGACAGCCACGCCTTGGGGTCTTTTAACATGGTGCGTTTTGTGTACTGTTTCTTTGCTGCATGTGGCATGTGAGGTGTGTGGCATGTCTGGCATCACAATGGAGATGCCAAAATATGGGCCTTCTGACCTGTGCTTCGACCAGAATCAATGACTTTGTTGCCGTCTCTGTCCCATCCTATTCAGGCAGAACCCTGCCATACATCAACCCCTGGTACAACCCCTGGGCTCAGGTTGGGATGCAGACGAAGAGCATGATTTTGGAGACTTTCTTCGTGGAACCCATATCTATCGTGATGCTCTGGGCGTCCTGTCGTCATATTGGCCCTAACTTTCTATGCCAGGCACCTGCGTCAGTGAAGAAAATGTGTTCAAAGCGTAGCTACTGGAGACTGAGCCTGCAGCTTGCCAACCAAGAATTGTACCCCGAACATGTGAGGATCTATGTGTCGTCACAGGTCCCGACCACGCCATTCTGCCGAATCTGTCCTTTTTGCTAGATTCCCAGCAATGGCAGCTCATGCCTTGGAAGCGTTGTTCACATCATCACAGCTTCGCCTATCAACGTCATCCAAATCCTTGAGACCCAGCCAGAACTTCACTGTCAGGATACCAATGTCGTGGTCGCCTGCGAAGAATGTAGCACTGTTGCCATCAATAGCGAGGTCCGGAGTGTAACCACCTTGGAACAAAAAAAATAGGACCAACACCCGATCTATTTGTAATCTACTCCAAGCGTGGTGTATGTTTCAATTTCATGTTCTGCCTTCTAGTCACTTATCCATGTATGAGTTTTTTTGTTCAGACCAAATTGCAGCACCGGAGAATTGCACTGAGAGATGGCAACTGTTTCCCCTGCAACAAGAAATACGAAGCGCTGAAGCACATTTTTGCTATGGCAGCATGAATACCAAGTTGCTTCCACCATCACCAGTGGCTGTCGAAGCTGTCAAATCGGTGATCCTTGCTTCACGCTGATCTTGCATATTTCAACGCGCAATGTCCGTCAACTTTCCTGATGATGTCTATTTTTCAGGCTGCGTAGTCTGGAAACCACATTCGTACGCACATCAATTAAAAAATGCTATGTCAGGTGTATTTGGCTGTGTGTGAGTGTGAACAAATCACCCTGCACCAGCCAGTGCGCATTGAGAATGGTCGCTGTTTCAAACCTGTACCTCTACACACATCTGGTTCCAGGGTGCCACAGTGGATTTGCAAGTCACGGTCAAACAAGCCAATTCTTTGACAAGCACACTCGAAGATCGTGGCCAATTTTTTTCCCTTCCGACTCCAAACCAGCGTGGACATTCCAAGTCTCCGTTCACCCCTCTCATCCCAAAGCTGAATCTCATGAAGATCCTCAGTTGCGGAATTTCGCCGAACACATCCGAACTCTTGGCGCCGGGAAGTTTGAAAGAATTTGCTAGGCACCTGATTCCGGCCAAACCTGCTTTCCGAGGAACAGGAAACCGTAGCATCGTGGCAATTCAATCTACGGTAACTCCTAGGTGGTAATAGATTTGATATGATTTGATTAGATAGTCATAGACTCGTAATATCTCAGACAACTCATAATACACATCCATCCTCGCAACTCTGAGATCTTTGATGAAAGTGGAAAGAAGATGAAAGAAGCCTAAAGTGCTTGTCGCTTTATCTACAAGTCTGCCAACTTGCTGCACACGCCCAAGCTTCCCAGCTAGCAGTGCACTGGTCACGGGTGATGCCATTGCCGTTTCCGAAGGTCAAATAGCGCGTGCCATCATAGGGGTTGCAATCCTTGGTTCACCACGGGCTCACCACGTTCCCAAGTTGTCTTTGGGAAAAAAAAAAAACGAACTTCCAAGGGTCAGCAGTCAGCACCATCACTTGACGGCTCTGTTCTGCTGGTATCTGCTCATGTTATTCTCCTTGAATCCTTCCCATCACTGCCGAGCATCCACTGTAACGTTACCAGGCCCAATGCCCGCAGGCGCCAACACTGGTTCCGGCGAGGTTGAACCTGAAGCTTTAGCTTCAGTTCCACTGCTGCGAGACAGTTTCAATTTGTTGCACCATTTGCCGCAAAAGGGTTGACAAAGAGTGTTACTGCTTTTGGGTGCATTGGGTTCCAACATGTCTGCGCTGCATTCACTGGATTCACTGCAGGAATTTATCATGGCTCAACGTCAACAAATATGATGCAAAAGCACTTAGATTTTTCAGACTTGGCAATCCCGCGCCAAAATTAAAGCCATTTCCCACTGGTCTGCCAACTTTGTGCCAGGAGGCTAAGGAAAAGTTCTCCATCACCTCTGACGAATGGAAGTCCCAAAGCTGCCAAGAACCATGGGCGTCGCAGAATGAGCTGAGCCATGCTGAGCCATCAGCCTGCAAGAAAAAGCTGCGGACATTCTCGTTGATGTTGGACTGGAAAATCCAGCAATCCGGCTTTCCAATGCACTGGGCTGTGAGAAATCGAGAACGAAAAGTATGTTTTCCGGGGGCCTCCTGGATCCACAAATGCGATCCGATCGCACAATCCCCACCAATCCCTGTCAGTCGCCTGGCATTTCAGGTGCATTTCTGATTGGAAAAATGGACATCAACTGCTGTTCCACAGCATTCTGCATCTTTCTCACCGCAGCCGAGGTCAGCTACCTTTGGCAAGCCATGCGTGCGCTGCACCCTGGTTCCGTCGCTTTGCGACTCGCACAGAGTGCTGGAACATGACGGGTGAAGACATCACTCCCACTGGAAACTGCTGTTTCCGCGACATCCAACTTTCAAACTTCAAGAGGAACAGTTGATGTCTTCACTAAGGGGCACTTTTTACATAGCTCTTGGCCCTCTGCTGAAGACCAGCTTTCAAAGAGTTTGTTTTAAAGTTAAAGCCATGAGAACTCTCCAGCACCTTCGACTATGGCCTTCTCAAACCAGCCACCCAATATGGCAAGAAGCAGGAGTACGGATCACCTGAAAACCACTCGAATACATTTCACTTGTACACACTCTGAGGAGGTGCCGGAAAGTTTCGGACGGTTCCTTTTGGAAAAACGCCCGGAGCAAAGCACCTACTGCCGTCCCAGATCTGAGAGAAGCGCCTCTCAGGTGTTGCTGCAACGGCATGGAAAATGAACCCGCAACCTGGCGCAGCGGGGGCAAAAGATGGTGTGGAAACCAAGATTCCTGCGTTGGATTTCCTACAGCCTACTTTTTGAGGTAGCAAACCCCGTACATTGGGTATTTGTATGTATTTGTATTGTATTTGCACAAGCTGCTGCGTCTGAGCGCACCAACCACCAGCAACACACCACCTTTGGGCTTGATTCATGGCAAATGCAAAATAAGATATATGTAATAAGTGCCATGCAAGCACACTGCCCACGCCTGCGTAAATAGAAGCGACTACGCTGTCTTCCTGTCAACTAAGCAGAGCTGGTCCTGGCAAAGGTTGAAAGATAACAAGCCTCCAGGCGTTCATTGGGAGCAGGTGTGTTCAATTGCAATCGCAATCTTTGACGTGCCCCAACGTTACTGAGCTGAGAAGACCCCATCTACTGAAGTCTCTTGACAAAAGGCTGCTGCCGAGCAACCCAGCAGAATCATGGAGATCAGGTAGAGCGAAGACGCAATCGAGATTGCTGAATCACATGTGTGATAGTAGGCCGGGTCCATGCCTTTGAACAAAAAGTTTGCGCGGCTGCGGCACATTACATGTTTGTCAGTCTAGGGGGGAACCTGACACATCCTGAAACTACGTGACACGATTTGATAATAATAGGGTCTGATTTGATCAAAAGCGGACGGATTGACTCTAGCACTGCTGTTATTCATTTGTCTTCCTATTGGGCAGGGCCCCACGAGGTCGCTCAGGTTATCAGGGCCAATATGGACATGGTGTCGTGATCAGCTGAAGATGCCAGGATGTGCCAAGTTGCCAGCGACAACACAGCCACCGGCATTGCATTCAATATCTGTCTGGCCCTCAGCATGCACGCTACTGCCATCCGTGAACCCAATCTGGAGATATCTGGGGAGGGAAAAGTGAAGCTCTGTGCTAAACGCCCAAACGCCAGAGTGACGCAGTGGTATCTTCATGCCTGATGAAGCCATCATGAATGCCCACACCCTCTCACCCTTCAGTCTTGCAGCTCGATCGAAATTGAAGACTACAGTAATCAGAAGGGTTAGCAAAAGTGACTCCAAATCTTTTTTGACTCTGAAAATTGGGGACATAAGGGATTCAGCTTGAAAAGGCCTAAATTTGCTTTCTATTCTGACGGAATTCCAAAATATTGAATCATGTGTCTCAGGGATTTAACTACATAGGGCCAATCGCATGAGAAAGGGGCAACCATACAAGCGACCTTACTACTGCTGCTACTACTACTACTACTACTATTACTACTACTACTACTACTATTACTACTACTACTACTAGTACTACTACTACCACTACCACTACCACTACCACTACCACTACCACTACCACCACTGCTACTCCTCCTCCTGCCATTACCATTACCGCTACCACTACTACTAACACTACCACTACCACTACCACTACCACTACCACACCACTACCACTACCACTACCACTACCACTACCACTACCACTACCACTGCCACTACCACTACCACTACCACTACCACTACCACTACCACTACCACTACCACTACCACTCCTGCTGCTGCTACTGCTACTGCTACTGCTACTGCTACTACTACTCCTACTTCTATTACTACTACCACTACTACTACTACGACTACTACTACTACGACTACTACTACTACGACTACTACGACTACTACTACTACTACCACATTAGCCCCACCCGATGGTATGTAAGTGAGCGTTTGGGGGTTGTGGTGATGAGTGTGAAGGGGGGTCGTCTGTTCATGGGCGGGTGAGGGGGGCGGGCTGGCCTTCTTCATCATCAACTTGGAGATCAGCGCTGGGGCTGTGCATCTGGCATGTGTTGGCATCGCAGGTGTTTGAACAACTTTAGTTTTGCCACTGACTTGTTTTGGTGATGGTCCCGAGAAATCTCTCAAGCTAGGTTGGGTTCCATGCTCAGAGTGGCTAAGAGAGCGGAAGACTCAGTCACGCCAGTAACACTTCAATTTGATTTTGTATTTGTCGAAGCCATGCCACGGTTAGTTCACGCTAAAAATTCACACTCAAACTTCGGACTGGCATATTCAAATTATTCTCAGACTCAAACCCAGAGTGGCATTGACAGTCAGACTCAAACTATTTTTCAAATTCAAACTCAGACCGGTAATATCCACAATCAAGTTCACAATGGATATTCAAACACAAATTCAGATTGGCATGCAAAGGCTCAAATAGACTCAGACCAACATGCAGAATCAGATTCAGACTGTCAGTGATTCTCGGGCATTGGTCTAAGGTTATGGGTGGCGATGAGAGTGGGCCACTGTCACCGTCGTTGGCTCAGCGCCGCGAGATTGAGTCAATGAGGTTCAAGTTGATTGCACTGAAGGTTGCAGAATCAGTTTCTTAAGGTTTTTCTGAAGGTTGGGTTTAAGTTTTATTTGTTGGTTTAGGGTTTATTTGAGATGTATTCAGGGACTTTAGGGTTTAGTTAGGGTTGGTTTAAGGTTGGTTAAGGTTGCTTAACACGGACGGATCCCTAAGTTCTTCAGCCAATGTTTTCCAGGTTTCATCCTTTGGAATCAGACCACTCCATAGCCATCAGATTTGTTTTACATAGAGAAATCAATTATTATTTTCATTGGATAAATATTTCCAGCACACTTGGTTAGATTACCCAAGGGTAATTCCAGTTTTAGTTGTGCATTTCCTTGACTTTTATATTAGACCACAAGAAAAATCCTTGTTTCCTCCCTTGGTGAACCCATCAGAAAAGACATAATTCATCATAATTCCAATAAACTCCCGCCATATCTTTTCCTGCTGGTTTCTCCCAGTGTTTAATGGTTAAACCAGAAGCCAGGTGAAGGGACGAAAAGAACCTGTGTTGGTCTACGAGGCGACACGGCGGTCAGGAAATCCACCATCAAAACTTTTTCAGAGGAAAACATCGAACTATTTTGCTGGTTGGTGGTTTGGAACATTTTTTATTTGTATTTGGAAGAATCATCCCAACTGACCAATGTTTTTCAGAGGGGTTGAAACCACCAACCAGTTTGTCTTTTCCTATAGTTATGTTACATTACTGACGCACAAAACTGGATATTTTTTAGGATAATATTCACAAATACACATGCCATACGTGTAGAGAACAGGTCGAGTTTGTCCTCAAAACCCAGTTCGTATCGGAGAAAAACATGAGGATTCAACTTATATGACACGTGATACACACACACATGTTGTTTGTCGATTCTTCCCTAAAAAACGAAATTTCCGGAAAGAAGGATTCCGAAAAACTATACATTCAAGCAAATTTAAGATGACTTAAAGATGAGTTAAGCCATAAGAATCGAGATTTATCATCATTCCAAGCTGTTGTTGTCAGGTGATGGGTTGCGATCTTACGTGTCCGGGCACCCAGCTGTGTTGGGTAGATTCACCATAAACTCTACTTAACATATATACTGGTTGGTGGTTTGGACATTTTTTTCCATTTCCAGCAGGAACATCGTCTCATGTCAACCTTGCATTTGTTCCATCCAACGTGCTTCATACTCAGGCATTTGCGGAAATTCGCAGCGCCGCGGGCTTTGCTACCAAGGTGGCTCCGGCAAGTTTGAGCAGATAATTTAAATTTGCCATGAGTCCAAGGATGACAGTTGATTGTGTTTGCCAGCAGGTTCACTTTTCAAGCGGCTCAGGTAACATGGTCAAACTCAGCCAGATCATTGTCAAACTCAGACGTGGTCAATGGTCAAACGTAAAGCCAGTAGCTAGGAATGTCATACCATGTGAAAATCATTTTTCAGAATGAGGGTCAAATTTATCCGTCAAATGTCACCTACAATGCAGAATTCTTCGACTCATCAAGAGGTTTATCTACGACAACCCATGCAGAAGAAATCACAATAGAGTTTGAATTGAATCGCTGGTCGATGTCGTCGACGAATTCCATTGCGCTGGCTTTGCTTCCAGAGAATTACCTGAAGATTGGATTGCAGCTGGACCGCCGTGGGCAGCAAACATTGTTCCTGTTGCAGCATGGTTGCATGTAGACATGAGAGAAACATTGTGTCAGTATAAAACTGTCTGTTATAAAACTGTTGTACATGTATGGACAGGTGGAAGCTGGACCCAGATCTTTGTGACCAACAGCAACCTGGCATTACGGATTGGACTGAATGTAACTGGATGGTCATGTTTTCGTGCAGGGGCAGGGATTTTTAGGTCGTTTATTGATGGCAAGCAGTGTCCGTCATGTTTCTGACTGAGGATACAAGATTGTGAGTCAGGGAAAATATACAACCTCGAGTCCTCGCTGCACTGGAAATATGTCGAACGTGCCATGGCCACGGAAGGTGGCCGTTATGGCTTGGCCCATAAAAGGCATGCGGACACCAGCTCCTTGTTTAAATTGTTCATTGATTG